ATGTATGTTGTTGTTAAACCCTAATATTACATGCCTGTTATGTGTTAAGGCTCATGTTTTCCCTGGCAGTTTATCTAATTAGGACCATTCTTCTGTCAGGATAAAAGTCAATCATCTTCATAATGTGGGGTACCTAACAAAGATTTGGGAATGGGAGTATAAAGACGGAGTGGATTATTCTTTACACATAGCTCTTCCTCTGTGCAATCGGGTCGTCCTTGATCTAAGAACACTGTCTAATACTTGATATGGCAGGAGCAAGTGAAGTCTCCTCATGTTCAAATATATGTATTACGAAATGTATCAAATGCTTATTTAACCGTTATTCAGGGCTGCTGCCGATTCTCTAATGCAGTGAGCCCGAAGTTAACCTTTGTATCGGTGCAACCTCTCTGAAGTATGATTACTGTACATTTTCTTTTAAAATCTGTTCTCATGTGTCATAGTACATTAATACGTAAACCTTATAAAGTATAAATCAGGGAGATATAAAGACAGATGCAAACATCGAGCTTTTCTTTACATCTGTTTTCCCTCCACTGTATGTAACTTGTTTTATTATAAACCTTTGCAGCTTTTTGCAGGCTTCTTTGTAAAGGTTAGAACACAGGACCCAGTATTCTAGGCAAGACAGACAGTGGGATTATTCAAAAAGCGTTTACTATAAAAACTGATCTGTGGTAGCAGCTGCAAGGGTGTCTACGGCAAGAACCTCTGTAGGAGAAAAACACAGGTTAGTGACCACAAAATTTGATGGAGAATGATTACGCATGTGAGTCACTTACCTGGATGAACAATTCAGTCCGTGACCAGAGAACAAGGAAGAATCCAGCCGGTGGGCTGCCAACAGGATTCGGCAGGCGGAGCCCAGAGTGTCCTAGATGCTGCAGCCCCGCAGGATGGAGAACAAGAAAGAGAGCAGATCCGAGTAGAAAAAAAGAAGGCAGAATAGTCCAGAAGGCAAAGCTAAAGCCGGTGCCGAGGACGTGCTAGAACCAGGAGATCAGAAGTTGGAGGAGGTTCCAAAGAAAAAACTCAGGTCGGTGACAGGAAGCAGCTCCAAGTTTAGCAAACACGCAGAATCCACAGGAGTCCGAAGACAGTTCAGGCAAAGTGATCAGATGGGAACAGGAAGGCTCAGTGGTTGAGAACCAGAAAAGGATCAGGTAACCAGAAACAATAAGGTAACGCTGAAAAGCTCTCACCACTGCTCGAGAATATTCTCACCTAACAGCTGGAAGCAGGCAGATTAAAATAGACCAGATCGGAACAGGCGTACTCAATGGTTGAGAGACACAACATGAAATCAGAGACACCAAGGTAATGCTGGCACACTCTCTTCACTGGCTAGAGAGAAATAATCTAGCTCTGACGACTGTTAACAGGCAGCTTAAAAAGAGGCAGGAGCAGGTGGATCAGATGAGCAGTAATGAAAAACCTGACAGAGTTATACAGGTGAATGAAATTAGTAATTAAGCCAGTCATCAACACCAAGAAAATTACATTCTTAAGTAGTTAGGGAAAACCTGTGCGATTCAGAACAGGTAGGAATATTGGCAACAGTGTATCTGTCCTCCCTTGCAAAGTATTTAATAGAATGTTGGCTTGAATGAGAAAGACTGGATGTCAGTTTCTTGTTAAATAAGAATTAGACACTTTTTCCATCAACAGTGTCGTAGAGATGACTGGCTGCTACTTCATGGCAGTGCCTTAGGCTTTTCACACCCCTTATTTGTATTAGGATCTTATATAATAGAGTAAACAAAGTAGTGTCTGATTTCATAGTGTGAGAAAAATGACACCTATTTTTTTAAATGTTATACAAGTAAACAAAAAAGAAGTCTATTTTTGCCGGTATTGTCATGATCTGCCGTCATAGCTGAGCTATTTGTTCATTTCACTCACCTGCCCAACTCTGCCCGGTTTCTAATCATCTCTCATCTTATCCAACTGCGTCTGCTGCTTTATATTTGGCTCAGCCCAGCTATCAGGGCCAGATCATTGTATGTTTGTTTGTGTTCAGTTTGAGTTATTTCATTAGTCCATGTTTTTCGTTCTCTTAGGCCAGTGGTTAGAGAGGGTTATTTGTCTTGTCATCATGTTTCCTCATTGTGTCCTGGCTCTTTCCTGCAGAGCGCTTTCTGTTCCTGTTTTGGCTCAGCAGGGGGGAAGCTAGTTTACAGTTCTGTAGCCCTGGCTCTTGAAGAGATTCAGTTTAAAGTTCTGCAGTTCTCCTTGTACCTTGTCTTGTCTCTGCCTCTCACCACTGAGGCTGCCTGGCTCCCTCTGAGCGTATCTGCCTGAGCTCGCTGCTGGACTCATGGAGCTCTGAATCTGCCTGAATGCTCTGTGGATTCCTGGAACCCTGAACCTGTTTGTTCCTGTTTGGATCAGAACCCTTGATCGGGCTACAGACTCCTGGATCTCAAAACTTTCCTGGTGTGATCTGTTTTCCTTGACATTGATTGGACTCCTGCCTTTTCATTGGAGCCTGCTGTATCGGGTACACTCTGGACGGCTCAGCGCTACATATCATTGGCGGTGCATCAGCTGAATCCTATCTCTAAAAATGTTGAAAGTCTTTCCAGATTTCCTCAGCTTCCTCCTTAAAAGTCCCATATTATGCAAAATTCACTTTATAAACATTTTTAACACTCATATGTGTGCTAAAGCCTGTGTAATATACAAAAAAAAAACTTTCCCCACTCTCAATGTCTTAATCCTCCTCCAAGTTAATGTGTGCTTAATATTCTGATTGTGTGCTTATGTTAAAGTACTTATGTAAGTAGCAGCTTGGTTACCGGTACTTCAATACAGCTTAGGGTAACTGGCTACTGGTTGTACATGTTGTTTTTTTTATTGAAAGACTTTAATTAACCGTGTACCAGAGGCAACAAACTGGACAGTATTGTTTCTGTAAAGTGCCTTGAGATGACGTGTTATGAGCATGTGTTATATATATATGAATAAACAAAAATTAATTCACAGTCTAGGGTTTCTAGCCTTTCCTTGAAAAATGAGATCGTTCTGTATATAGAAGGATTGCTCCATGTTCTGTATTGAGGTGATTTGAGTGAAATTTGTCCATATTGGGCTGGATTAGGTTTTTGGTACTTGCTGTCTCCTTTATCTCAGAGATTTCATGCTCAAGCAGTAAAAACGTGTTCTGGGTTGGCTTATTGTAAATACTTTTTATTTTCAAATGTAGTATAATGTGAGATCTTTAAACAAACAAATGTTTCAACGGTGTATGACTTTCCAATTTCCTAGTCTTTAGGAGTTTCTTTGTGTTTATTTTCCTAAAACAGAGTTCCTAATTTACTGAAAATGCAGCCGTCCTGTTGGAGATAAATGTTTCACTAATGGTTGTTCAGCTGTGATCTTATATCTTCTATAATTTTACATTATGACATTTCATTATGACATTTCTCATTTCTCTGCATGATGGAGAAGAGGCTATCACTGTTGCCTTGCAGCAAGAAGGTTCTGGGTTCAATTGTCAGCCCAGAATCTTTCTGTATGGAGTTTGCATGTTCTCCCTGTGCATGCATGGGTTCTCTGGCTTCTTCCCACTGACATGTCTGTTAGCTTAATTGTCTTCCCTAAACTGTCCTTAGCTGTGAGTGTGTACATGGTTGTGTGTCTCTGTGTTTGCCTGTGACACCCTTGCGACCTGCCCAGGGTGGACCCTGCCTCTTGCCCATAGACTGCCAGAGATGGGCACCAGCCCCACCGTAACCCTTAAAAGGACTAAGCAGGAGAAAATGGATGGATGGACATTTCTTACCTTTTATCTCAGATTTTTTAAAGGATTGGATTTAGTCTCTTTCGTTGTTCATCTTCACAAGGGTTTTGGATATTGAGATCACAATGCAGAACCAGAAAGTATGGAGAACATTCCCAAAATATATAAATAATATACTATCAACGATACAGTAGAAGGGATACACAAGCAAGTTTCAATGTCTGACAGGAACACCACTTTAGTTTCAAAAATCTTTTAATACTTGTCTGGTTTAGGTTAAACAATGTTATGATAAGTTTAAAGAAATCAAGGCTCAGTTCTCCAGGTTCATCATGTCCAGTCAGTGTTGGAAAATCCCTTTGATTTACTTAGAAAAGGGTCCAGACCACTTGGAAAAGGAGCAAAGTCTACCATAAAGAGTCATAAAGCTCCCTTTTCTTTTCTTCTCTTCTCTTTTCAAATGATGAATAACTGAAGTGGTTTATATACAGCTAGAAAGTAATTACAGTCTTCTCTCTGAAGGGCTTACAGTATTCATAAACAAACAACAAATCAAACATCAGTCTAAGTTTATTCTGTACAAACAATCCGAGCCAAAACCATGAGTTAGTTAGAGTAGGAAAACACATCTTATAAGCAATATTTTGTTTATAGTGAAGCAGAAGTTATATCCCTTTAGCGTACTTTGCCAAAAGGAAACAAAAAAACCACACAGAGCCAAAACAAGGATACTCAAGTGGACTACAATAAACTACACAACACTACATATGCAAAACCAAGAGGTTAATTTCTAACGATGCCTAATTTACATTTCTGTTGCACAGATTTCAGTACATCCACGCACTCTCAAACCCAAACAAACACACACATACATACACGCAGGTGCCAGATTTGCACCGCCTGATGGGAACATTTTGGCAAAGTTGAATATTTTCTATGGAGGGCCAGGGGAGAGGTTGAAAAAGAAATACAAGCGTTTCAAATGTAATATTTAAATCGCACAATTAGAAATCCAGTTTAAAACCATTTGATTACTGTACATTTTCAATTACATTTTAAATAGGAATTTTAGATTATATTTATGAATCCATTAACACTGAAAATTAAAGACATATTTTAAAATCTTATATTCAAGTAAAGATTAAAAAACATACATCTAATTACAAGTAGCTTTCCTCATTAAACATTTTAAAGGCAATTTATGTTTCCCTTTTTCCTTTTCACCTCTCATTTTCAATTCCTTCTTGTGTTTGTATTTTCTTTTTACGTCATCCTCTCCTTTTATTTTTGTAACCCAACAATTACAGCCTTTCAACAGTTTACATAAAGCTCATAAACAGGCTAGTTTTAATTTATTAATGGTTTAGTTGCATCCGATTAACATTTTTGTTAAACCATATAAGCAGTGCAGAAGCAACTCACAAAATAGTTTAGCTACAGCTTATTATCAGTAAAAGCTTATAAATCTTTATTTAGAAATATGAACGAAAAAACACATGTTTAAATTGCACTACTTATTAATGATCAATAAATACAATTTGCAATTCCTCTTTAAAAATACAACTTAAAATGTGCAAATACAAAATGCTTTTCAACTGGATTTTTAATGAAATTATTTAAATTTTTGATTCTAAATGGTAGTATTTCTTTTTCCGTGTCTCTCTATGTCCTCCTTAGATTTCATGGTGTGTTTCATTCATCATCCACTGCAGCTATGCTTCCACAGTAATTTAGTGTTAAAGAGATGTACAAGGCGTTTGGAAAGTAATTAGAGTAAAAATACTTTTTTTTCATAATAAGCAATATGACATGAGAAATGTGTATAAAATAGCTGGATAATAGCAACGGTAGTAATGCTTCTCTGTTTTTCCTCTCTAGCCGTCATGAGTCGTAGTGTCACTTTGTTCTGCGAGAGCAAAATAGATATTACAGAGTAAGAAAAAAGCTTCCCATACAAATCCGACTGTATAAACATTATACTAAGTTCCTGCTAGGCAAGTATCCAGAAAGTGGAAAATGAAATGCACTTGTTTTCTTTTAAACTGCCTTTGACAATGATTATTATAAAATGACTGCAGGTAAGACTTCCTACTATGAAAGAGCAAAGGCAGGATGTTTGCGGTGTCACACCTTTGGAAAAGACAAACATACTCGATCCTAATTTACGTTCACATTCTAAATACAGCTTTGAATGCTCATGTTTGGTGTTCTGTCACCAGGCTATACCCGAGTGGTAGAGTGGGTGCTGGGCAAGCCTGCGGAGCTGTAGCCGGCGGGGAAGGTGCTGTACGGACTCATGTTGGACAGACCCATCAGGGAGTTGGGGATCATGGTGATGTTGTTGGGCGTCATCAGAGGGATGTCGTCAGGGGAGCGGCGCTGGCTCAGAGAGTAGCTGGGTGAGGCGTGGAGAGGATTATGAAGCGCTTCACACGGGCTCCTTTGCTGAGATGACAGGGTCTCGTCCACTGTGTTGGCATGGCTCGCATTGTTGCCTTTGCTATCGCGTTGTGGACTGGGCTGCTGTGAAGTCTCCTGGCGACTGCGCTTGTCCTTGCGGTAGTACAGGGCGGCGAAGGCCAAGACGTTGAGGAAGAGCAGCGATGCTCCCACGGCGATGGTGACGCTGAGCTCCGTGGAGTAATCTCTGGGGTTGGGCATAATCAGAGGACCCATCTCTCTCCCACCCTCCCCGTCACTGTGGGAAGTGGACATGGGAGGCCGGCCTGTGCTGCCAGACCTCTTGCCGTTGGACTGGGTGGGGTCCAGGGGGGTGACTTTGGTGGTGGTCGATGAGTAGTGGAAAACATCGTGAATGTTGTAGAGATGGGGGACCAGGTGTTTCCAGAAAGCTACTTTCGTGGCTCGATAGTGGTCACGGATCCGAGGCTTCAGGCCGATGTGCAGATAGAGCTGGTCGTAGGGGTCATACTTGGACCAGGCCACCTCCTCAAAGCGGTTGGCCTTGGTATGGATGAACTTGGTGTCCTGTGGGACTGGCTTGTTAGGATCCCTAAGAATAAAACACACACAAAAAAACTTTAGCAAACAACACTAGATTAGATTCAACTTCACTGACATTACATAAATAGAACTAAAAAACAATGAAATAGTTTCTCATCAAAGACAAAAAAAAAAAAAACTTAATACAGTGGATCATAAACAGTATTTGTAGTTAAAGCATTTATTGCAGACACTAAATACATTCAGTTTAATTTTTTGAAAAGGTCAAAGTAAAATGATGAATAACTGATGTAGCATCTGGTGGAGTTTTCTGAAGGGGGGGCTATAAATTCAAAATAGACGTATACCAAAAAACAATCAAACGTATACTGAGTTAATACACCAGTATATTTATATGAATAGAAACGACAAAAAACATTATGAAATTTATTTAAAAATATATATATATATAACTTCATGAACATGTTTACTTTTTTGTTCATAAATCTTGCCCTTCTTAGGCTTTGTGAAGGCAAATGTTTTGCATGGTCCAATATTGTGTCACAAACCTAAAAAAAACAATGTACCAGTTTATTAATGGAGAAGCTATTGGTCAGCTTTATTCTTTTTTTAATATATAGAAACTATTTTCTGAGAATCTGTTAATTTACGAGAAACTATGCAAATTAACAAACACCTAGAAAAAGTACACTACATTATATAATTTTCCATGAGAATCCTAGATTGTTCTTTCTTCTTTGCCTTTTCTAAAAAGTGCTTTAAATCAGTCCTA